ACACAGCAGGCGGCGCACACGAACTCACAGCAGTCATGGCAGCATGCACAAGAGCCATTCAAGTGCAAGCCAGACCACATCCCAGCAAGGAGACGGGAGGTGGGCATGAAGTCCTAGCCCCAGTTAAGAAGCTACTGATAACGGATAGCTGTTGGAGGATGGAGAGGAGAACACAGTCCCTGGTAAGTGGACCATGCTCCAGTGGAAGGCCACAGGACCAAGAATAACATGGGCGTCACAAGTTGGTTTTGATAGTTTTAAAAGTTTTTTTTAATATTTATTTATTTATTTATTTATTTATTTATTTATTTATTTATTTATTATGTATACAATATTCTGTCCATGTGTATGTCTGCAGGCCAGAAGAGGGCGCCAGACCTCATTACAGATGGTTGTGAGCCACCTTGTGGTTGCTGGGAATTGAACTCAGGACCTTTGGAAGAGGAGGCAATGCTCTTAACCACTGAGCCATCTCTCCAGCCCCAATGTGTGTTTTTTTTTTAATTAAAGATAACAAGGGCATAAAGTAGGGTGTGTAGAGAAGAGTGTGAGTCTGAGAGGAAAAAGGATGAATATAATCAAACACATTGTGCTGACTGCTTTTTATGTCAACTTGACACAGGCTACAGCCATTGGAAATGAGGAAACCTCAATTGGGAAAATACTTCTACAGATCAGGCTGCGGGCACGCCTGTAGAGCATTTTCTTAATTCGTGATTGATGGGGGAGGTCCCAGCCCAATGTGGGTGGTGCCATATCTGGGCTGGTGCCCCTGAGTGCTATAAGAAAGCAGGCTTAGTACATCACGATGAGCAAGGCAGTAAGGATAAGGAGCACCCCACCATGGCCTCTGAGTCCGCCCTTACCTCAATATTCCTGCTCTGTTTAGTTCCTGTCCCAACTGCCCAGGATAATGGACAGTGATGTGGAAGCATAAGTCAAAGAAACCCTTTCCTCTACAGCTGCTTTGATGATGGCGTTTCATCATAGCAATAGAAACTTAAGACACGCAGTCTACAATATTCTTAAAGATCTGACCATTCAAAACATATCACCTGGTCTACTGGAACAAAGCAGGGCTGGTACCCAGGGAGGCGACACCCTGTAGGAATTTTGGATTGGCCTCTTTGGACACACTCAGTAGGGTTTGAGTCCCAGTCTTGCCCTAATTCTGTGAATCCAACATTTCTCCGCATCTCAGCTTCCTTGCTTGTAAGATAAAATCAGTGACTGTGTTTTTAACGGCCGAAGCCTAAAGCTAGAAAAATCAAGCCAACACTCAAGAAAATGGAATCATCAAGTGATTGGTGCTGAATTTGAGCCGCTCAATTCAGTCACACCTGAAGTCAGTGTAACTGTTCCAGTAAACCCACAGGTCAGGCTTACGTCACACACTGCAAAAGAATTCTTTTTGCCACAGCACTGGTGAGGCCTGCCCACTGGGTAGAGGCAACGGGAGGTGGGCTATGGGAAGCTGAGTTCGCACACCAAGGGAAGACTTCACTAACAAAGAGCAGTAAGTTATAGGCAATAGCACACTAATTAATTTTATTACTAAATTAAACTAAAAGTATATTGTCCTTAATTCATGTAAATGAGAGAGTCCCAGCTGGGGACTTCAAGAGTGAACATAGGAACTCGTGGGCAATTTTGAAACTAGGTACTTGGCTTTAGGGTTTGGGAGGCAGCTGCTAGGAACATGTGAAGCCGCTCTGAGCCATGTAGGCACTATCTGCCCACCACTGGTGCCCCTGGATCATATGGGGTGTGTGCATCCATGCAGGACAGAGATCTGGGTGACATTCCTGCCAGTAGCATTTTGTTTTTTTGCTTACCATGGCAATGGTGTCATCATCATCACCACCATCCTTCTCCTCCTCATCATCAAAGGCCACATCTCACTTAATTCCACCCATATAGGGCTCTGGCTATTTCACTTTACTGGTGAAGGAATGGCCTCAGAGTGGTTAAGTTATACAAATGATGCAACACAGCCTCAGACACGGTAGAACCGCACTTCCTCCTAGGGGTGGGAACTCAAAGCCTATGACTTAATTGTGCTACTAAGTTACTAGTGGAACCCTTGGGAAACAGAGAGCCAAGATTAAAGAGCGATTAGCCTGAACCAGTACTACTGGGGTGAGTGTGATTTTTGTGATGTGTTTTTAAATGGATGGTTTCTTTGCCCACAATGTAAGCTGTTTGGACAAATCAGATACTATAGGCTATGTGAGGAGAAGAAGGGTTTTCTTCTCTACCTATAGGTAAGGACTTTCAATATCAGGGTCACTTTTAATAATAAACACTCTATAGAATTGCCCCCAGCTCTAATCGACAGCATGTCTTTGCTGTCAGAAAGGCCTGGGTTCAAATCCTGACATGCCATCAACTGGCCAATCTTAGAAAAATCCATTTGGGATCTCAAAGCCTCCCTTTCACTTCCTGAGAATGAAGAGATTAATTCTCAATTCTGAACTGGATAAAGCCAATATCACATGCAATGGGCGAAAAAGTACTAGGGCTTAGCAGGCCATGTATTTGTCCAGGTAGCCTCTTCACCATTGGAGGCCTGAACATGCTATGGCTAACTAGCAGGAATTCACAGAGCACTGTAGCGCCTTGGAGTTCCTTTTAAATATAATGGAGGCAGATTAGAATCAAGAAGAGGCCAATATGTGCACAATTGGCAGCTAAAATTGAAATCAAACCTTAAGAAATAATGCAACCCAAGAATTCTGGGATAACTCCTTGAAAGCTCAGGGCAGGAAACTTAATGTTTGCTTCTGTCTCTTGCTTGAGATAATAAGGTAAATTGAGTCACAGAGTCTGCCATGTCCATGAGTCATGGCAGAAATAATCTTGAACAGGGACTGTACATTCAAATCCCAACCATAACCAGATCAGAAATGGAGAAACAAGAACTGCCATGACCTAGGAAGGATGGGACTGGACTTGCTATCAGCCCTGAGAAAATTCAGACACAGAACATAGACACAAAGTCATACCAGGATTGTCATGGTTAATTGGAAATCTGCATTCTCACGGAAGATATGCTCAAATGAGCCAGCTGACCAACCAACCAACCAACCAACCAAACAAACAAACAAACAAACAACCAGACACAAAATACTAACAGGTTACAATGATTCCAAGAGCTACTATTCTGGAGTGTGTTCTGTTCAACACCAGAAACAGAGGGTGCTCAAGACTGCCTCTTTCACCAGGGTGAGACGCTGTTTGTGTACAGGTATGTGTTTATGTATGTGTGTAAATGTGTTGATGCACATGTAAGTTGGTGCAGGTGTGCACATCATGTGGCGATCACAGGAAAACTTCAGGTGTTGAACATTTTGTTTGATGAGGGATTTTCGTTGGTCTGAAATTTCATCGTGTAGCCCAGGCTAGCTGGACGGTCTCTTCCTCCCATCCCACTGGGATTACAGGTGCATGCAGGGTTTATGGAAACTGAACTCATACTAATGAAGTGAATACTTTACAGACTGAGCCATCTCCCCAAGCCAATCTCCTAGTTTTTGACACTGTTTACTCTGAATGGAAGAGGTGGGAGCTCTGAATCCTGCCTGCCTCCATCCATACCAGCAGTGGAAGGAAGTGAGGAAGACACAGACTGGAAGGCCGAACCTCTGGATTTAACTTCATGCTATCCCGAGTCTTTTAACTGGAATGTAAGTCCTTTGAGAGTCTGAAGATGCTCTTGTTCACTACTACAGCAGCACCTGGCATGTGGCTGGCATGAGGGAAGCAGCTTTTGAGTGACAGGCAGAAGGACTAAATGATGTGGGGACATCACTTTAATGCAGTCCTCAGTCTACCGATCAACAATATGAGAATTAGCCATGACTACTCGGCTCCAAGTATTACCACGATAAAAATGAACTCATAAAATTCCTGGGGAAAACAAAGATGTAAAAGGTTCTGAGTGTGCTGGGGAGATGGTGCAGCTGATAAAGTATTCACTGTGTGAGCATGAGGATCTGAGTTCAATCCCCAGAACCCATGTGAGAGATCCTGTCTCAAAAACAAAATGGTGGGTAGAACCTGAGGAATGACACTTAGGGCTGTCCTCTGTCTTCCACATGTGCACATGTACCTTCATAACATGTGCACCCCATACATACACATACACAGGTGCACGAGCCCCTGTATACAAATGTGTACCCGATACACACACATACACAGGTGCACGTGCACCTGCATAAAAATGTGTACCCCATACATACACACACACAGGTGCACGTGTACCTGCATACAAATGTGTACCCCATACATACACACAGGTGCATGAACACCTGCATACACATGTGCACCCCATAATACATACATACACAGAGGTGCATCAGTCTCTGTATACACATGTGCACCCCATAAATACACATACACAGGTGCATGTGCACTGGCATACATATGTGCATTCCATACATACACACACACAGGTGCATGTGCACCTGTATACACATGTGCATTCCATACACACACACACACACGTGCATGAGCACCTGCATACACATGTGCACCCAATACATACACATAGACAGATGCATACATACACACACACAGGCTCATGTGCACTGGCATACACATGTGCACCCCATACATACACATACACAGGTGCATGTGCACCGGAATACACATGTGCACCCCATAAATACACATACACAGGTGCATACATACACACACAGGTGCATGTGCACCGGAATACACATGTGCACCCCATAAATACACATAGACAGAAGCATGTGAACCAGCATACACATGTGCACCCGAACACTCACGCAAACGTGCATATACAGGAATAAATTCAAAAGATTTCTTGGGCGAAAAGCAGCAAGACTGCCATAAGCATCTGCTGCTCCCTGTCCTTGGCTAACAAGAGGGACCCTTGAGCTTGCACACAGGAACTTCTCTCTGGTTCTGTAGAATCAGCCTGGAAGAAAGACCTTAGGAATAGCTTTCCATTTCTGCGGTGCCCAGTGTATTACCTTGCATTGTCCCGGCCATGAGACTTCAGGAAATTCATATCTCGGTATCGGGAGAGAAAAGCCACCAACTGGTCATTTGTCCTGTGGGAACAAACAGAAGAGAAAGTCAGGGTCCTCTGTAGACCTTGGAGGTGTTGGGTCTTGCCTCCCTTCTTAGTCCTAGGAAGCAGATTTCACTCTGTTTTCCTGTTCTGACCACACCACACAGCCTGAGATGCACACTCTTGGCGGGTCCTGCCCCTGGGCCAGCCACATTATGTGAAAAGAGGCTGTATTCTAGTTTCATTCTGACTGCTGTGTTGTAACATCCCAGAAAGGGGCAATTTACGGAGAGAATGGGTTTATTTTAGCTCACAGTTTCTGGTTATTGCTCACTACCACACGCAATGGCTTGAGGCAGCTGGACACGCCACACCCACAGTCAAGAGCAGATAGGAGTGAACGCATTCACGCTCATTCGCTTTCTTGACTGACTGTGAAGCTCAGCCTGGCTTCTCCACTGTTACACGGGTCAGGACCCCCCGCTTAGCGAACGGTGACACGCACAGTGGGCTGAATCTTCCCACGGCAATTAACTTCATTCTGACTGTGACTATCCCCAGATACGACCAGGCCTGCCCAATATAAGCCATCTTCCACTACAACCGTCTTTCCAGGTGATTCCAGGATTTGTCAGGTTGAGAATTACAGCTACCAGCACAGGCTGTTCGCACATCTCTCTCCCACATACTCCACTGTGTAAGGAACCCTCAGGACAGCGCAGTGTTTTATCTGCTTTGGTATCTATGCTCAGCATTGAGCATGGTGGACAACAGTCGTCAGTATACCTGACATCATATACAGATCGGCCTCAGGGCCTTTGCACTTGCTGTGCCTGTGTCTCTTAATTTTTGGCCTGCTCTTATCATTTAGGTCTTTCAAACATCTTTTCTTCAAAAAATTTTTTTAATTTAATTTTTTAAAAAAATTAAATCTGGTCATTCCACCTAAAGTAGCCCCTGCATTCTCCTTTACCACACCACAATGCTGACTTGACTACTTTATTACCATTTGAAAGACCTCTCTTGGCTTCCTTACAACATCAGGCCCACGAGGAGAGAATCTAGGCAGATCTGGCACAGAGTAGGACCTACACTCTTGTCTGGCGAATGAATGAATGATGACGAAGGAATGCACGCACCCTGACGAGCCAATTTAGAGCCGACTCCCTCAGCACAGTGAGCAGTGAATGAATCCGAGTGCTCAATAACCACTGAGTTGTGGGTTGAGGGAGCTTTAAAAAATATGAAGCGCCACGCAAACGGATGACATTGTTCCCAGCATTGTTATCCCAAATTTATCACCATCAATCTCGGCGCTCACAGCGCCGTCACAGCTAATCAGCTTGTGCATACAGCTGTGACAGTATTTTAAAAGGCAGTCACACAGGTCTCCATCTGCCAGAGACGCGGTCGCCTCTTCCACTGAATAAACCCAAACAGGTAAATGGTGCTGATGTGACAGCCCCTCTGTCACCAGGCTGCTCGGCTTGGGCGGAGGGCTCCTTAGAGGCCAAGGGGCTGCCCGCTCTTCCAGACTGGGTGATGGAAGAAAGACACTGTACGGGAGCACAGTGAGGTTGGACCTTTTCTTTTGAATTGTGTGGTATGTGTGTGTGGTGCGCAGGTAGGGAGGGGTATGTTCTGCACGTGCCTGTAAGTGTTGGTCCAAGCACACTTGTGCCATGGCCTGTGTGTGGAGGCCAGAGGAGAGCTTTGGGTGCTCATCCCTGATGGTCTACCTTGTATGAGTCAGGGTCTCAAGTTCCCCACCATGCACACTAGTCTGGCTGGCCAGCAGGCCTTTTGGGAGCTGCCTGCTTCTGTCGGTCATCTCACAGTTGGAACGCTGGGGTTACAGATGCCCCCTAAGGCTTCTGCCTTTCTGTGGGTGCTGGAGTTTTAGACCCAGGTCTTCATGCTTTAGTAACACATGCTTTATTTACTGTGCCATTGCCCTAACCTTAATGCTGGACCGAAGAGAAGCAGGGCAGTGTCTTGGAAAGCAATGCCTAAGCTCGGGAAACAGAAGGATCTGGAAGTGAGTTCCAGCTGCACCACCACAGCCCACCATGTGTGGAAAGAATAAACAAACCACCAGACCCTCTGAACAGCGGCCTTCGGTAAACTCATTTCCTTCCAGCTGTGCAGACTTAAACACCCCAGCACACAATAAGTTTACCATGCATTTTTTTTTTTGCCAGCAGGATGGGTAGATTTAAGGGCAGAGAGTAGGTACACATTCAATGCACATTGCTCAGCTACATCTCAGTTACCTGGGCTGTTCTACCCTCAGCCCTCAACCCCTCTGGAGTAGAGCCACTCCAAACCCTCATCCACTCATTGGATGGAATATGCTGACTAACCCACAATTCTTGATGGATGAGAAAAAAAATGTAATCAATGTCCCAGGCTCTTATTGAAATAAAAACCAATGAGAAGCCAGCCATACTGGGATGGCACATGCTTGAAGAGGTTCCTGCATCTGCAGCCTGAGACCATCTGTCCTGCACAGGATGCAGTGCTCTCCTGATGTACACAGAGGTGAATCCTTGGGACAAATCCACAGGGCAAACCTTTGTGCCTGGACAGTGATAATCGAGGTGGCCAAGGTTCTGAGGTTCCCGTAGCCTGATGCTCAAAAGGGCTTCCAAGGAGCTGCTGGGGTAGCAGCAAGGCAATGTCCTTATACAGGAAAATCAGGCAGCATCTTTCCCAGCTATCTAGAGGCCAGCTACATCTCTTCGCCTCAGGCGCTCTTATTTACCAAACCCTTTGCCACACTGTGTGACAGTTCATTATTGTCGTCTGGATGAATAAAAGGACAAGTTAACCTCTGAATGGGTCTCCAGCAGCAGGAATAATAAACAGGGCCTCTTGGGAAGCTTAGGTGGGAGGACTGAAGGGGCCAAGGCCAAGCTCCAGGAGCCCCCTCTGGGAAGTCTCAGGCCTCCCAGGGTCAGCCTGCTGTGGCTCCATTTGGCAACCCCAGAAAGCTTCTTTCAGGCCTGGAGCCGGGGCCATTTTCGCATTTCCCGCTTCACCGGGTCCCCATCGGATGGGGATGAATAGGCATTTAGCGAATTTACTTAGCGATGCTTCCACATGAAATCATCTCAAAAGACAACATCTTAGGGGGAGGGAGGGTGGTCAGGTAGGGGCTTTCCAGGCTGAAACCTATGCATAAAGCCCCCTTTCAAGGCAAAACCCTACGTGTTTGGTGAGTGAGCTTGCTGCATTGACTGATGGGTGGGGTGAGGGGGGCTACTGCTTACTCCTTCTGACCAGGGAACCCTATAGCTCCTTGCCTGCCCCCTTTTTGTAACATGCCTCCCTCAATGTTAAATTCTGGTCAGCTAGTCCCTTTTCTTGCTCCAAAAGGAGAAGGGATTTGGCTGGGGAACAATTCTCCCGATTGCTCCTTTCAGGCTCCTGTCAATAATTGCCTATATATTTAGTTCACTCCAGATAGTGAACAGCTTATGATCTCCTGACATTTTACCCCATTCCAGTCTTGCTGGTTTGCACATGCATGCTCACACATGCACGCATATGCACACACACACACACACACACACACACACACACACACACACACACTCTTTTATAGAATAGTCTTTCTCCATGCAGCTCCCATCGCTCATCGTTGGGACCTATGGAACTAATTCTGCCTTCTGCTGACATGATCACAAGTTATCCACAGGTCAGTCTATCTCTTGTTGACTGCTGGTGCCCATTGCTGCAACCACTAGGGCCATGGAAATACCTGCTTCAATATGTAACATGTAACTAAATGCTGGAGCCAGCTAGCTTCTTGGCAAACACACGGGAATCAGGAGTGAATGCATAAATAAGAGAATCATAAAATAAGGTCTCAGACCGTGACCATCACTGGCTATGCACCACGATCTAGCTTCCAGGCACAGGCTTGCTCTGTTGCTACATCATTTGATATTTGCGAAGACGCCATACAGTGAGTGTCACTCTCATCCGGCAGACTGGGTGGCTACGCTCAGAGACATTAGGTCATGAAGGAAGTGCAGAACCAGGCTTGGGACCTGGTTCTGATGTTATGGCTGATGCTCTTGATAAATAACCCACTCCGCAAATGTCACAGAGTGAATGATGGGTGAGTTCCATCTCAGGAGTAGAAGAAAAACTACAGGTGCAGGAAGAGGCTACCCTTGCAGACTTGTCTTCAATTCAGAGGCCACTATGAGAAACACCACACCGGCGGCTGGAGTGATGGCTCAGCAGTTACCAGCACTGGCTGCTCTTGCAGAGGATAGGGTTTGGTTTCCAGCACCTTCATGCTAGCTCACAATCACCTAAAACTCCAGTTCCAGGGAATGTGATCCTTCTCCCCGTTTCTGGCCCCCGTAGGCACTGCACACACGTGGTGAAAACATATTCAAACAAAACATTCATACACATAAAAAATCTTCAAGAAAGAGAAAGAAACACTGTATTCAGGCCTCACACAAGATCTACTGAAATAAACTTGACTTCTTTTTTCTTTTTGAATGTTCGTGTGCGTGTGTGTGTGTGTGTGTGTGTGTGTGTGTGAGAGAGAGAGAGAGAGAGAGAGAGAGAGAGAGAGAGAGAGAGAGAACCGTATGGAGGCCAGTGGTCAGCTCAGGTGTCCCTCCTTTGCACTGTCCACCTTGATTTGTTTTGTGTTTTGGGAACAGGGTCTGTCACTGGACAGGAAGGAGACTGTCTTGGCCAGTGAGTCCCAGGGATCTGTCTGACTTCATTTTCACAGTGCAGCGATTACAAGCATGCACCACCACACCTAATGGGTACTGATCTCAGGTTCACATCCTTGTGCAGCAAGTACAATACCCACTGACCCATATTCCTGGCTTGGGATCAATTTGACTTCTTATGGTTTCCACGTGATATATACGCCCCTGTCAGTTTGAGAAACTCTGCTCTGCTGAGTATGAAAGGCAGTGACGGGTCTCTTCTTTCCACTGGTCCCCGAGGGCCCTTCTGGATGCCTATGCTTACAGGGAGTGCCTTTCATCTCTATAAGGCATA